AGTCATAAGGACGTCCAGGACAACCGAAAAAGGGCCCCCCAGATGGCCCCATGACGCACCCCTCGCCCTCAAGAAGAGCCCAAGAGGCTCCCAACAGGGCCCTGGAGACCGCCCCCCCCGACCCCCAAGAGGCGACCAATAGTCCCCTAGAAGCACCTCAGCGGTCTCCAGGAGGCCTGGAGGCCGACAACAAGCAAGCGATAAGCCCAACATACCCACCACATAGCCCCAAAGACGCCTCCAGAATATCTACTGAGCCTCTGAAGGGCCCCCTGCTCTCGCCCCATGCGCGGTTGCACGGTGGGCCGAAGGCCGCTGGATCCGCCGCCTCGAGCCCCCCGTTGCTTGCGACAGGGGCGGTGGTGTGCCGGATTTTACATCACCTGCAAGGCTTTCGACAAAAGAGTTCCCAGCGGGGTCTCGGCGCGATCCGCCAGCCACTCGTGCGAACAATATTCCATAAAGTGGCCGACGGTTCGGCCTTCTGGGATGAGGGCACAGTGACCATCGGGGAACTCCGAATCATTGTTCAAGTAGTCGAAGCTATCTACTGTATGTTCAGTCAGCGTGAAATTTCCTTCGATGCCCAATCGTGCGTTCGAAAGCGCTGGATATATCATCAAGTGCCACGTGTTGTTGAGGCGAAGGGCGCATCAACTCCAAAAAAACGGTTGCACTTGAAAGCCGTATTATTCCTCACCGTGCGCGTGGGAACGGACGCACACAGTGCCGAAGCTCCAAAAGAGCGGTTGCATTTGAGAGCCGTTTCCTTCCTCACCATACGCATGGAAACGGACGCGCACAGTGCCGAAGCTCCAAAATAGCGGTTGCATTAGAAGGCCGGTTTCTTCCTCACTTTGCGTGTGAGAAAACGGACTCTGCGCATAAGTGCCAGAAGAGCGGTTGCATTTGACAGCCCTTTTCCTCCTCACCAAGCGTGTGGCACGTGCATTTGCGAGCCCATAGAAATATTGTCGTGGGCTTCGTATGAATAGTTATGTTGACACATATTCTTGGAGGTCGCCAGGGCCATTACCCCTTTCCTCCTCGTCCACATCCTGTTCCTCATTGTCCTCCTCCTCCTCCTCCTCCTCCTCCTCCTCCTCCTTTTGCTCCTCCTCATCATCCTTATCATCCTCCGAATCGTCATCCTCCTCCTCATCCGCCTCCTCCCCCCCCCCTTTCCAGCCACAGTGCGATACGCGAGCGTCCGCCCAACGGCGTGCGACACGCCAACATTCACCTGGCAACGGTGCGGCCACGTGTTGACTTTTAACGTCCTCCTGCCAGGTTGCAATGCCATTCCCTACGCCACGCCCTTCCTCTTCGGCCTTTTTCATCCGCCTGCTCGGTGTCGACACGACGTTTGAAAGTCTGCGGGCCTGAATCGTGCTGCGCGCTTGTCGGGCCGCTCTCGGTAAACAGGAAAAGACAGGCATTCGCCCACGACGCTTCAAAGTTGGCAGGACATATTCAGCCGACGCGGTCCAAGAGGCTTCTGAGACGCTGGAAGAGGCCCCCGAAAGGACTCCAACGAAGGCCCAAGAGACACAACTCGACGATTGGCAATATGTGCAAAACGATTTGAGCGCTCTCGCCGCTGAGGGCTTCCGACAGCACCAGACGGCCCATGAGGTCTCCATGATGGCCCCAGGGCGGCCCAAGAGGCCCTCAATAAAGCCCATTGACAACCCCAAACGACCCGAGATGGCGGCCAGCACGTCCAAGAATGCCCCATATGGCCTCCAGAATGGCTAGGGTGGCCCCATATGGCTTCCAGGACTGCCCAAAACGCCCTCCAGGGCGGCGAAAATATACTACATGGCCCCAAGACGACCTAAGATGGCTCCTGCATGGCCCCGAGAAGCCGCCAAGGGACACCCAGGAGGCCCGAACAGGCGCCCAGGAGGCGTCTTTCTCGAGATCCTCCGCACCCACCTCCGCTCCCTGACCCCCCCCCACCTTCCTCCGCCATATTTCCCCCGACGGGTTTGCACGAAAGCCCGGGCAACGCATAGTCTAGTGGCATGGACATGTTCTGGCCCAATGTTTGGCCACATATGCGTTTCCACGGGCGCAGGGGGCGGCGGCGATTGGCGCTCCGCGCATTCGATGCCAGCGTCTCCGACGCATCGAAACGCCGCGGCTGGTAGGGGGCTTTTGGCCGAAAGTGCCTCGGCCAACCCCCCATCATGTCAAAAGCGCTCGTGCCCCCACGAGCGCGAGCGCCGCCCGTTCGAGCAGCGGCGAGCCCCGCGTCTAGGCGTCTAAACTGCACCGGCCGCTGAGGAACCCCGTCGCCCCAGACATCTGTATACATATACGAGTGCCTTCTCTCATGCCTTCTTGGATGCCCCGCCACCGTTCGGCGCAGCCACCCCCGCTTTGGCCGAGCCCTTCTTCGAAGCCTCTTTCTCCACCACGGCGTCCAACGCCTTGACAAGCGGAGGTGGGATCTTCGCGCGCTGCTTGGAGAGCAGCGCCTTCGCCTCGTCTGCGCCGGCCTTCCCACTCATGGTCTCTGCAATCAGCACGCCGCCCATGATCAGAACGGCCCGCTTAGCCTTGGCGAAAGTAGACCTGCAGAAACCGATTTCCTCGGCAAGGCCATCGTCCTCCTTCAACGGAGGCCGCAGCCCGAACTGCTCGTGGACGACCGCCACGCCCTGCATGCATAGGCACAGCGTCGCCGACTCGTCGGACAGCTTCTTGGACCTCTGCGGGTCCACCAGCTGTTTCTTGGCCAGCTTGGGGTGGTACACCTTCTCGTTGCAGATGTGCTCGTAGCCGTTGGGGATGAGTTTGTCGACACTCTTAGCCATGGCATAGGCGTCCTCAAGCAAATACACCACGATCTGCCGCTCCACGTGCACCAAAAGCTTCGAGGCTGCCTCCAACCAGAGGCCCCCCTCGTCCAAGCTGAGCTTCCACGGGAGGCCCAAGTCAGCGACACGCTTGACGAGGTTCTCGTCGGAGAGCTCGAACTGCGCAGAAGCCAAGCTTTGATCGAAATGTTGTATGGCCAACATAATCTCGGGTTTGACTTTGTGGTCGGCCAGCGCCTCGGCTGCTGTTGTTGCCGATTGACCCAGCCAGGCGATCGCCAACGCGACCTCGTGGACGTCGGTGAAGAACTCGAGCACCGCCACCGCCGTGTCCCAACCGGGTACGCTGACGCTCCCGTCCCAGTGCTTCAGCAAGCCGTGCAGGTCCACAGGCGAAGCATCGGTGGTGTCGCGCTCGCCCGTGGGAGACATGGCCAACCCCTTCACGATCTGGAGCAAACTAGTTGCGGGGAACACATCGCCGAGCCTTCGGTGAAGACTGCATTCATGCCCTTGATTTCGGCACGCATCGCCTCCGAGTCCAGGAACAAAGCGCAACGGGCCTGGATGTGCATATCAGGCTCTGTCACGCGAGCGATGGCGTCGACCTTGATTAAATGAATCCGAAGGGATGCCACGAGGGATTCCGTGGCCTGCTCCACCACGCCACTCAAGACACCGACGGCCAACTTGACAACCAACGTGTCCGTGATGCTGTCCACGACGTTGAGAACGTCCGGCCAGGTAGCCGACGACTCGCCATCAGAAACATCAGGGGGCACGTCGCCATCCCACGCCCTGACTGTGGAGCTTGCCGGGAACCTTCCAGGCAGGGTTACTGCGAGATAAGGGGACGTGGCCAAGCAGTGGCGCAGCCGCTTCAGATTGACGGCGTTGTCAAGGAACGTCGATGTAGAGCCACTGCCGCAGCGGTTCGCCTGCCACTCCTCGACGCACATTGCCGCTGACGCGGGGAAGTCGCAGGTTTGGAAGGCGAGGGTGCCTTCGATGAACTGCGACAGACTATTCGCCAGCATGTGTATCTCCGAGAGATTGCTTGCGGTTGCTGCCACGGCGCCCACACAGGAAGCGGGCAACACCGTGGCCTTCGACTTGTTGAAGTTGTCCAACAATGCCAGCAAACGCCCCCATTCCGGTGACGACGCGACATGTTGGATATGTTCGGATGCTGCCTGCACCAAGGCCAAGTCATGCTTGCAGAGCTCGAAGGCCTTGCATTTTTCTGCAGCGTCATCGCCAGGGTCTTCGTGCGACGACAGGGCCGACATGAAGCCTGCCAGCTTCCTCGTCCAAGAAAACATCAAAGCGACTCCCACGGCGTGAGAGCACTCCGACAGCGACTTGCCCCATGACGAAATGGTACCGTGCACGTCTTGGACCTGGGTGTCAGAGCTGAATGCGTCCAGCGCCTCTGACAGGAGCGTGACAGACTCGCCCATGGCCGCGAGGGCTGTGAGGTCATCGGCCCTGGACCCGTTGATGACCACAGCGGAAGCACTCATGGGTGCCACATCATCGGCAGACGGCTTATCACCAGAGAACTGGATCATGTACTGCGCGTGGAGCAAGCCGATCGCATCATCCAAGTTCTGGCGCCCAATCTCGTCCCCGGCCTGCTTCTCCACCACGCTGCCGACCAGCATCTTCAAGTGGGCCCCGCAAGCGGAGTTCCAGAAATCCGACCAACCGTTTGGGCGCAAGGTGGTCAAATGCGTTTCCTCTACCAACCGCTCTTTTCCCTTCAGGGAGGGGCACCCCTCCCCTACCCCCACCCCCTGGACCTGGAGGGGGGGTCCGCGTGTAGTCGGCGCGCGCAAGATGGCCCAAGATGGCTCTAAGAGGGCCTTGGAGAGCCCAAGATGATGTCCAACATGGCCCCAGACAGCCGAAGGTGGACAAAGTTTACGGACAACGCCGCGTCTGGAGCGGGACGGGCGCCGAGGAAATGTTACTTAAGACCAGGTTTTTCCTCGATGCCCGCTGCTTCTGGCTCGATCAGACGGAAAACTGCTTTAACAGTTTTAACGCTGGCTGGGCCTGCATTCAGAGCTGGCAGCACGAGAGGTCATCGTTTCTGTCCGCTTCGTCCCCTCTGCTTTCCTCCTCGTGAGTCGTCCCTCGCCTCCCCATCCCCCCTCGCTCGCACGAGAGAGCCTGACCAGTGCCCCTCGCGGCAGCTGTTCGCCAACGGGGCCAGCAGCAGCCGCCTCCGCGAGAGTAATGGACGGATATGCAAAGCACGACCGTCCCGATTCTCTTGGAGGGCCAGAGCGCCCCCCATCGCGATCAGGCAGGGAGTGCGGCGCAGATCGGTCGACTAGAGGCGGGCAGGAGCCCCGCCGCCGCCTTGCCCCCCCCCCCCCCGAGGTAATCGGGCGGAGGTCGCATGGGCAGGCCTCATCAGGAGCAGAGGACCCCCGCTCCATCTCTCACGCTGATGGCTATGCAAAGTATTGCCCGGGCGCGTCTGGCACTCGAGCTAGAGCAAGAAGGAAGCCGTCCGAAGCGCCTTACCTTACCTTACCTTACCTCCTCCTCCCCCTCCTCCCCCTCCGCCCCCTCTTACTCGTCATTATTATCCCTCCTCCCTCATTCATCACTCCATCCATCCATCCATCCATCCATCAATCCATCCATCCGTGCATTATCATCCTTCTTCTTGCTTCTCACCCTCCTCCTTCGAACGGTTCGGCCGTCCCTCTCCTTGCCCGTACACTTCCCTGATCACCTCAACTCGCTTGGGCGTCGTTTCTGGATGGGCTGGTGGGGATGTTTTTATTTGGTCGGCGGCCGCGCGACCACGGTCTGGCGGCAACAGCGATGTCCGGGACTACGATATTGGTGGGGATGCGCGAAGCGTCAAGAATTCTTGAGCCTGGCCATTCGCCCAGAATCTTTGGTGAACGTGTCCAAGCACTCCTGCGCCCTTGCCGAAGACCCGACGTGCTCACCCTTCCCCAGGAGGAGCAAGTACGATAGATTGCCGAGCTCGGTCGCAAGCATATCGAAATTGATGGACATGTCAGCTTCCCGAAGTATCACCGCTGCTGACATGAGATCCTCCCCTACAGCATCGCGCTTGTCATCGAAGTCGTCAGGCGGAATGGCCTCAAGAAGCAATGCGACAGCGTGGGCGGTGAGGTCCCGAAGCCACACCTCGCCGTCGATCGGTGGGCGATCGGCCTGGCCGCTTGCGCTGACAAGCTCCAGCGTCGATCCCTCCTCGTCCAGGAGCGACTTGAGCGTCGGCGCGAGAGCCCCGTTCTCGGCGACGTCCTTATAGAACCTCACCTTCTGTCTCAACAGCTCCAGGGTGTCGCTATACTTGATGTCCTCGGACTGCAGGTAGTCCGCGAACTGGGTCAACGCATCTGTGCACGCCACCAGCTGTTCATGCTTCTTGTGGCGCTGGAACACCTTGTAAAGCTTGACGAACAGTTTCCCGGCGCTCAAGCCTTCAAGGACGCGCCGACCCATGACCCGCCAGGGCATGGCACCACGCTGCACGACCTGGCGCGGCAGGGCCCGCCACGGCACGGCACCGCGCGGATATACTGTCTTGGGGATAAGTCGGGGGGGCTGTGTTGGGATCTTTTTGGGGCCCGCTTGGGGCTTTGTCGGGGCCGTGCTGGGCTCTCCAGTGCGGTCTCGGACGGCTGCAAGAAGGCTCCAAGAAGGCACCGCTCCGCCTGCTGAGTGGGCTCCGCAGCTGCAAGAAACCTCCAAGAAGCCTGCGAGAAGGCTGCAAGAAGGCTCCGAAAAGCCCCTGCTCCTCCATTGCCCCTCCGCCCAGGCGCGCATTTCGCCCGGGTGCCGCCTGCTAAATGGGCGTTGCAAGCATTCTCCACCGTCTTGTTTCCGACGCTTCCAGGGTCATACCTGGAGTTGTTCACGAGGGTGATTTTGGAGGTGAAGTGGCGCTCCTGGATAAGGTCAGCCCACCCGTGCGACCCAAACACCGAGAGCAACCACGCCTTGACGACGGTCACATTGTTGTCGACCCTCTTAACCCCGAGCGATGACGCAACCGAAGCCACCGAGGAGGCCGCCGCAGCCGGTGTCCATGGAATCGCCCCCCCGCATACGGATGTCATCATCTCCTGCTCCTGTTCGATCGACGTCTGCAGGCGCAGCGATGCCGGGTGCCTTCCCCCATCTTGTGGCGGCGGTATCACGAACATCTTCGAGCCCTGCTGCATCGGGCTCGTCTGCGAAGCGGCAAGGCCCTTGATGACGCCTATGGCCGGCCTGCCCGCCTCGTCAGCAACTTGGATCAGGGCCCTGGGTCTATCGGCCCGCGATGTTGGCGGAGCCGCGCCACAATAACGCATGGCGCGAAAGGGAGCCCCACGAAGTTGAACATCCAGATCAAGACGTTCATGCGCTGCTCGATCATGACCTTCCTGATCTGCGCGACACCCTCCTGCGAGCAGCTCGCGGGGCAATTGTTTGACCCCGCGAGCCCGAAAACCCCCGTCCACAGCCTCCCAAGGTTTTTACGAATGATGAATTTTGTGCGGTTCCATCAACCGCGTTTGGAAATCGACAACTCAGCTCAAATCGGAGCCAGAAGCGCGCAGCCCCTCCAATCCTGAAGCAAAGTCAGGAATGCCAGCAGCATCTGGTACCACATGGTGAGGTTCGCCACGGACTTCGCCATCCAAGTCGGCATCAGCGCCAAGCCAGACGTCATGCTGAAACATGTGCGCCAGCACGTGTGGCACTCCTTGCACCACTTGTTGCCTTGAGACCACGTCACGCGGGCATCTCGGTCGAAGAAGCATTGGTCTCCATCCTGGCGGCCGCAACCTGGGCATGGCCCAGGCTTGGATTCGGATTGGGGCGATCCGGTCTGTGGGCCGACTCCTGGTTCACCGGCCTTCTGTTTTTTCGAGCTCGGCGGCGTGCCAAAAGCAGGGGCCGCGCGCTTGTACGTCAAATGGCGAGACTGGCACGGAGCGACTCTCGGCGGCACGAGGCTGGACGCCGCCCCCGTGCCCGGCGAGAGTGCTGACGGCGCGGACGAAGCCGCCTCCAGACCATCAAGTTGGCTTTCCAACTCATCCAAAGCCTCCATGGTGTAAAACTGCTGGCTGGTGCGAACGGGGGCCAACGGATCGAGGTTGAAGCCGTCGGGTCAGCGAATCAAAACTTGCTCGTGCCAAAAAATGTGGCGTTCGAGTGCTCCTCCCTGCTTCGCTGTGCCCCTTGACGGAAATAGCGAGGCACGAGCGGACGAATTGGCGCAACACGCGCGCCCTCCCCCAAGACGGTGCAAGAGACGCCCCAGACGGCCCAATATTCACCCCCCGACGGCCCAATATTCCCCCCAAGACGGCGGGGGGAGGAGGAAGAGGATCAGCAGGCGCACCGGGCGCATCAGGGCACGGTAAAATAGTAATATACCCGGCCCAGACAGCCCCCGGACGGCCGCAAAAAAAGAGGCCCAAAAGATATTCAGATGGCCATGGCCATCTGAATATCTTTTTCGGCCGTCTTGGAGCCCTCTGGGGGCCCCCATTGAAGCCACTTGGCGGCCCTCTGGGGGGCCCCGGGCCCTCTTGGAGCCTCTTGGGAGGGCCCACCGAGCCCTCGGAGGGCCCCCAAAAGAGGCCCAAAAGATATTCAGATGGCCATGGCCATCTGAATATCTTTTTCGGCCGTCTTGGAGCCCTCTGGGGGCCCCCATTGAAGCCACTTGGCGGCCCTCTGGGGGGCCCCGGGCCCTCTTGGAGCCTCTTGGGAGGGCCCACCGAGCCCTCGGAGGGCCCCCAAAAGAGGCCCAAGAGATATTCAGATGGCCATGTCGATCTGAATATCTTTTTCGGCCGTCTTGGAGCCCTCTGGGGGCCCGTTTGGGCCCGTCATGCAATGAATTTCTTTGTCGTTGGTGGATTCCTTGGGGCTGTTGGAGCGCGCCAGTGTTCGAACTCTACACTACTATCACGGTTAAAATTCCTAGTATGTCTAACCCCCAACGGTGACCCCCAACGTTGATCCCCAACGGTGACCGCCAACAATGGTGACCCCCAATGATGGCGACTCCCAACGGCGACCCCCCACGGTGACCCACAAGGGTGACCAACAAGGGTGACCCCCAACGGTGACCCCAACGGTGACCCCCAACGGTGACCCCAACAACGGTGACCTCCAGCGACGGTAACCCCCCAACGGTGACCCCCAACGGTGACCTCCAACGGTGACCCCCAACGGTGCCCCCCCACGGTGATCCCAACGGTGACCCCCAACGGTGACCCCCCCGCGGTGACCCCCAACAACGGTAGGCGTCAACGACGGTGACTCCCAGCGGTGACCACCGACGGTGACCCCCAAGGGTGACCCCCAACGGTGACCCCCCACGGCGACCTCCATCAACGGTGACCCCCAACGACGGAAACCCCCAACGGTGACCCCACTCTAGACTCCCAACGGTGGCCCCCCACGGTGACCCCCAACGGCGCCCCCCAACGGTGACCCCCAACGGTGACCCCCAACGTTGGCCCTCAACGGCGACCCCGAACAACGGTGACCCCCAACGACGGTGATTCCCAATGGCGACCCCCAACGGTGACCCCCAAGCGTGACCCTCCACGGTGACCCCCAACGGTGACCCCCATCGGTGACCCCAAACAACGGCGACCCCCAACGACAACAACCCCCCACGGTGACCGCCAACGGTGACCCCCAGCGGTGACCCCCAACGGTGCCACCCAACGGTGACCCCCAACGGTGACACCCAACGGTGATCCCCAACGGTAACCGCCAACAACGGCGACCCCAAAAGACGGTGACTCCCAACAGTGACCCCTAACGGTGAGCCCCAAGGGTGACCCCCAACGGTGACCCCCAACGGTGACCCCCAGCGGTGACCAACGGTGACCCCCAACAACGGTGACCCCAACGACAGTAACCCCCAACGGTGACCCCCAACGGTGACCCCCAGCGGTGCCCCCAACGTTGACCCCCAACGGTGACTCCCAACGGTGACCCCCATCGGTGACCCCAACATCGGCGACCCCCAACGACGGTGACTCCCAACGGGTACCTCATCGGCGACCCCCAAGTGGCCTGGGCCTGGAAGCCTGCGGGAGGCGCCAAGGCCGCCAACCCGTGGGAGGCCACCCCTTGCTCGGGCCCCTTGGGCCCCACAAGCCCGGCACAGGTGCCTGTGCCAGGGCCACCTGTGGCCCAGGGCCTTCCGCGAAAC